AGTTCATGCAGGAAGGATTACTGCTCAGTTATGTGAAGGGACAGCTATGCCTTGTCTGCCACATTTATCAGAACAACATGCTTTTACCTACAACTGCCAGGTGGAAACATATTTAGATGCTCAGAGAATAGACTCTGAAAATGTGGAGTTCCAGAATGGAGTTTGTGGTCAACCTGAATAGATCAGAATTTTCTAGGATTCGTCTGCCCCTAACTATGGTGCTGAGATATTTACTGTCCCGTACACTTTTTTTGGAAGCTTCCCAATGATTGCCACACAATTTGATGATGAGTTGGGACCATTGTTAGCATCCGCCTTGGTTCAATTGGCAGCTTCTGCACTTTTCCTAGTCTCTTTCTTGGCTTGTATGTTGTTTTTGGGATTTGTTGGATAGAGGTGAGTTGTTGAAGAGTGTTCATCTATCCACTGCCACTCACCATGTGTTATATGAGGCCCTTTTCATGAGGTGGCATCACACCTGTTTCACCACAACTTTATATCAATTTTAGTTGTTATGTGACTTATTGATTTGAGTATTCAATGCTGTCTTAATACAAAAAAACTCAACCTCGTGTATATTAAAACTGGTTTATGTGTGTGAACATTTTGCTGTGTATTTACCCTGGTAGTAAACTTGTAAATGAAATATTATGCAGTATTTCCACTTACCAAGCGTGTAAAGCCTGTTATAGAGTTAGTGAGCTTGGACTAGGAATTATAGTTGTCATGCTTATTTACTTCTTTCTTGTTGTGAATTCTAGTAAAGTTAACGGGCGGTAATTTTGTAACTTTTAATTTTTCTTTAAAGACACTGAAAAATCCAGAAGTCAGTTAAATGACTTCTTCAATATATGCAATGTCTGTTTATGTCAGTTCTTGATAGCAAATTAGGGGTATTTATCATAATTTTTTCCTTAAGTTAAAATTTTAACACATCAGTCAGGTCTCTATTAGATAGATGCTCTTTTGTATTAACTAAAATTCTTTAGCATCTCAGCATCTGCACTTCTGGGATTTGATTGTTTGTTACTTTTCTAATGTAATAAATGTATTTTCTTTTCATAACACTCTCTCAAGAAAATTGTAGTAAGTGCAATATAATGTATGTATCATATATATATCATATCATTGTTTAAGTCTTCCTATAAGATAGGAAAAAATATAAAATTTTAATGAATCTGTAAAGTTCACAGGTTAAATGGAATTTTTACTTTTTTTACTCTATAACTATCACTTACTGTCATCAGTAATATTGGATTGGGTGCATACCAAAGTATAGGAAAATTTTATGTATTATGTCTATGTATCTTAAGAGAAATAAATGGGTGTGTATTGATAGATTTATTTGTCTTTCAGTTATGTTATGTTGAAGCTGTGTGGTATGTAAATGCAATTCCTAAGGCTCAACTGCTGAGCAAAGAAATATAGGATACAGAGATAAAAGAATTCTGGAATAATTGGAAATACTTGTATATTTATATATACATATGTCCTGATCACCCTGATGAAGTTGCAGCTGATGTGTATTTTTAATGGTAACAGTATGTGCAATAAATAGTACTTAGGAATTTCCAATGATTTTGTGCATTACATAAACAGGTACTTCACATAGAATGAGCCCGTATACAGCTTGGTGTGGTATTTCTATAGAAATCAGCAAGACAATAAAAACATTTTTGTCCTCTTAGGGGTATCTTTGAACCTTGAGCTTATGATATTCACAGTCATAATGGTTTTCTGAAGTTTTAATTTTCTAAGTACAGTATGAAACTGAATTTTTCCAAGACATGAAATGTTTTGAGTTCTTTGATTTCTAGTGTTCACGTTACATATAATCAATAGAAAAAGTATGAGTGATGATCTAAGTAATGTCATCAAGGGGATAAAAATCACCTGTCGTGAGATCTACAAATCTTCCATTTACAAAATGTCTTTTTTTTTTATAACAATTTATTTTATAAAACCAATGTAGTAAGGTTTTCCAAATACACCATTAATTTGAACATAGTAAATGCCCTTTAATAACTTAATTAAAAATAAATGCTACTATATGTTATAATTACTCTGGTTATGTGATAATTTCCTTGACAAATATTTGTACATATTTTTAAGGTTAAATTCACTATTTAGAAAGTTATGAATTTTTGATTTTAGAAAAAAGTTATCCTCCTATTTCAAAAGCTATGAGATTTCAGATTTTAGAACCGTATAAGGTAAATACTTGAAAAGTTTTGAAATATTTAAAATTAATGTACCTTAGGTAGATTATATATTTAATGAATGAACTTGTGACACAAATTTTGTCGGGATTAAATTACTTCATTAGACTTTATAAAATTGGATATCCCTTTTAAGAGAATTTTAGTAATTTAATGCATCAGAATTCTCATAATCACATCATGTTCACAGTAGAACTTCTGCTATAGAGTTTGCAACTGTTAATCATGTGATTACTTTTAGTAGATGATAACATACATGTGGAATAATGGCTTTTTTTCTTTTTGAAGGTGTAAACTGTATAGATGCTGAAATGAAAATTCCTTTTTTAAGCATCTCAGAGAGGAGTGACTATAAAAAATATACCCATTAATTCGTGATTATAGTTTCTAAAAGAAGACTGAACAATTCATTTTTTAACCTAGCTGTTTTAATAGTGTTTTTAGAAATCTGTATTCAGCCACTTTGGTAATAAAATTTTGGACACGATAAAGTCATGTTTTGGAACTTGTAAGTTTTGAAATTGGCTAAATTGAAATCACGTTTTAGTAATATAATACTTTTAGTGTAACTAGCTATAGGGGCAAAAATTAGATAACGGGGAGGACTAAAAAGGTGTATATGTGAAAGTTTATCCTTTCTTGATACAGTAGAAAAAATAGGAGTGATAGATTTTTATACAGTGTAGTTTTATTTACCAATGTGCAACTAAGAGTTCAGGTATATAGAAATTGTGCTTTTAATATCAAATAATGTCTTTTTACAAAATACAGTTGGCTCTTAACACTAACCCCTATATGTATGAATGTAAACCTTGATTTTTGTTTTCTGTCCTGTCTGATTAGCTACCTAAACACCACATGGCATGTATGTGTCCCAGTGGGTCAATGTTTTGTAAGACTGTACATAAATTTAAGTTTCTATCATGCTGACTGGGTGAGAATGTAGAAGAAGCATTATATTACAGTGTTATGAGTGTACCTTAATTAAAATACAAATTCAACTGACTTATTGATAGGAGATTTTCTTCACATCTACGTGCTTTATTTTTGATAAATTAATATAGTTTTGGTTGACAGAGAAACAAAGGGGGACATGTTTCTGTTTCCCCTACACCTCCAAATTTACCCCTAACAGACTCAATAAATTTTATGTTTTGAAAAGTATAGCTTTCAATTAACCGGTTAAATACATCAGATAAGCACAAGTAAGAATATACCAATAATGCTTACCAATGATTTTTGTGCAAGGATGATTTTGAATTCTAATTTAACATGAAATACTGGATATAAACATTTTTAATAATTCCTAGGAAGGATCCATGCTGAATGGACTTCATGTTAAAAGCATACTAGTAAACAGGTTCAAGATAATTTGATTTTCTTTATTTTCTACAAAATAAGATTGATATTCATTTCTGTGTACTTTATTTTTTATATGTGGTCCATTTGGATAATTTATTCACTATTTTTTTTTTTTTGAAACAGTTAGGGTGGAATTGCAGTGTATCTTTATTTTTAGCTGATAATGTTAGAAATTTTACTAATAACTTAAAGTTTATAGATTTACTTATTGATGAAGGATTACAGTTTTCTTTTTAATAGTTTAAGTAAAATAAGGTATTCTGAAAAACACGTTTAGTTCATACTAGAATTTGAATAAAAAAAAGATAAAAGTGTGTGACAGAGAAAGAATAACTGTCACTTGGATAAAATGAATAAATATTGTAATTTTAGTTTTATTCGAAAGAATAACTGACTTTTGTGAGTTTTCAGTATCAAATACTAACTTTAAGATTTATGTGCAATATAGGTGGGAAAACTTGCATATTGTGAAAATCATTTGGAATATTTATATTATATTTAAAAATTCCTTTTTCACTTGGTGAATGTAATTTGTTCCCCCTCTATTAATGCTATTTATAAACATCTATTCTTGACCTGACCTATTTTTGTCTGTTACTTGCTTACACTTTTGGTTGTGATATATGTACGAACACTTGAAACCCTGGTAGAGATACAGAAGTGTAGTCATGTAGAGCTTTCTGGAGTCAGCTCTTTTACCACTGCCTTTCCTTTGTTTTTCTGTTGTTCTTCCACTTTTTAAAGAAAAATGTATGCTTTAGGCCTTTAAAAAGATCACCATTTATTAGATAAGTATGGAACGTGCTTTTCATAGAGTTTTTATTATTGCAGAGTTTTAACTTTGGTTTTGGAGAATGATTGATGATTGACAATTTAACAACCTTAATGATATAAATATAACAGGTTAAAAAACAATGAGTATCTAATTGGTAAATATTACCATTCTAATAATTAAAAAAAAAGATGCATTTTAAGAAATATTTTCACTTTTGTGTTTGAAACTATGTATTTAACATATCACAATTTTATGCCATTGCACAAGTTTTGGAAAAAAAAGTCTTTTTAAGACATTGCAGGCTTTAAAGTTTCTGATGCAAAAATTTCACTCTATCTTTTTAACTGATGACAAGTTTTGACTTTTAAAGATTTTACTTTTGTTGGTAAACTTGGTTATAGCAATAATGTTCACACATCTGGAAAAGGTTCTTTAAAAAATCATAATAATTACTCTTAAACTGATGTATCATGCAGCATGTAAAAAATGTCTGAAGTTTTGTTTTTAATATGTTGTCAAGTTTATTAGTGTGATTTTTGTAACTGTGGAAAAAATAACATTTTAGGATTTTATAAATAGTAAAATGAAGATTATGAAATGTGTAGTATATTACTTTTTAAATAAAACTGTTTATTCATTTGTAGGATATACATCTTGCTAAATATTAGTAGCAAACTATGGGAAGGAACTTTTTAATCAAGACCCTGTGCCTTGCTGTTGTAAATTATCAGTAATTTTGTCTACAAATATATAACTTGTCATTCAAGAAATGATGAAAAAGGTGAGTTTACAAATTATTGCACTTTGAAAGGCTAGTCAATAACATCTAAACAATGTGTTTTTACAGACCAGTTTTGATGATATGTAAAAGCATGAAACTCTAAGTTTTACATAACTAATTTACTTTGTTACTTCTTTAATTTAGTTATTGTTTAGCTTTATTAGTACTTTTACGTTAATGAACAAAAAACATTTAAGTTTTGTTTAGTTGGTTGTATGGTTGATTATTTTCTGAAATAAATGCAAAACAGATCCATAAACTAAACATGGACTGTAGGTCCAAGGCAGTCACAAAATGATAGAAAATGAAGTAAAGAACAAAAATCAGAAGTTAAACTTGTTTAATGTTTTGTGTGGCTTGCCTCATAAATGAGATTTTGATTATCTCAAAACATGAAAATTAATGAATTAAATATTTCACTCTTTAATAGAAACTTGTCTCACATTATTTTTTCTAATTAACTTCCCATCAGTTTTTATGACTTTCTTTTCTAGTAGTATAAAGATGTTTAAGCAACCTATATATTGAGTCTGTAAAGTTTGTATTATGAACTTCATTATTTTTCTTAATCTTAAACATTATTTCTAACAACAATGATTTACTGATTCCTGAGAAACAAACTACAGCATTTCCAAGATGTTTTTTCTTCCGTTCTATGTGTACTGCCACTTATAGAATGCTTGTCTGTCAGATGACTCATGTTCTTAGAATAGCAAGTTCTACTTTCCTCAGCAGTTGTAAAACAAAGAGTTTTCAGTGTAAGGTAGGGGGTCTTTTTCTTGATGAGGGGGAATATTGTGATCTGCCAAGATTGAGATAGCTATTTTCAAGTGTCAGATGGTAATTGGGGATAAATGTGATTCTCCTTGTTCTTTACGAGCTCAACTTGATTCAGTATATTTTGTGCTATTACATATTAAAGGATATTATTATGTATTTTGAGTGGTTTGTACTTGTTTGAAGCTATTATACTGATGAGTAGGGGTTGTCAAATACATTTTGACATTTAGGAGTAAATGATAAATTCTAAGAGCCAGGATAGTAGCTTAATGAGAGGAAAGATGGTGGTGGTGGTGGGGTGGGGGTTCTCCACATTTCACCAAGAAAATGTGTGTCCCAGTTTTCAGTGTTTTACAAGTTACACATTTTAGATGTAAACAAAACATGTACACCACTTTATTGCTAATGCTTTGGAGGTAAACCAATCATGCAATCCCTTTTTATTAATATAGAATTATGTAAAGCCCATAGAAACTTTCAGCCTCGGCAATTGAGAGGCTAGTTGCAGATACTCGTGTTTTTGACTTACGGTCAAACATTGAAAACAAAAAGTATTTTTTTTTTAGGAAACATTGTGATGTGGTTTCTGAGATTCTCTAAGCCTAGCTTATGACTGTTCTTGTTTTGTTCAACTGTCATAAATCTATTCATCTTTACTTCTTGATGCTTTACTTCTGGATAGCAATTAATGTTTGACTTTTTGTGGTCATACATTATGATTGATTTCGAATACATTGAAGTGTTTCATTTGCTATTCTTGATATTTGAATAAATTCTAACTAGAAAATTATCTAATAAGTATGCTTTAATGAAGTTTTATGAACATTTTTAGTCTAAGTTCTTTCCTTTTCTATTAATTTTATTTACATCTGATATGTTTATTTTACTTTCCCATAAAAATAATTACTTATTTTCTATTTTTGGCTCAAAGCTTTAACCCAAATGCCATTAGTTAGATAAGTAGTTGAAAATCAAAACAAAAACCAATGGAAAAGCAACCTGGAGCTAGGACCTCTCGTTTAGCGAAGCAAGAAGAAATCGAACTGGAAGAAGATGAAGGTTGTATCAACCCTGTACCAGTGATGATTCATATTGAAGATAGAGGAGGAGGAAGAGAAACAGAGAATCAAGAGGATTCAGATGGAGGAGGGGAGGATGATGGTATTG